TTATTGGTCACGTTACATAGGCTGATGGGCCTGTAGTCGGACCAAGAGTTCGGATTGGGTCTTTTGGGAATCAAGACGACAGAGGTAGCCGTGAATGAATCCGGCATCCGGTGACCGGTGAAGAAGTCCAACACCGCCTCCTCAACATCAGGCTCGACTATATCCCAGCAGACCTGATAGAAGAGGGAAGAGAACCCATCGGGGCCAGAAACGCTGTTGGGATCAATCCCAAAGACAGCATCCCTAACCTCCTCCCAGCTCGGAAGCTCACAGAGGTCGACAAGGTCGACCGAAGGAGGGATGGTAGGGAAGAAAGAGACGATCGGGGCGACGAGGGACCCTCTGTCAGAGGTGAAGAGGGTCTGGAAGTGAGCAACAGCCGACTCCCGAATCTGAGACTCCTGGGTCAGGGATGATCCATTTGCCTCAATACTATGGATATACGACTTAGCGCGCTTCTGCCTAACGAAGCCCTGAAAGAACTTAGTGTTCCGTTCGCCCTCTGCCACCCAGCGAACGGCCGCCTTCTGCTTCCAGAAATCCTCCTCCATAAGGAGTCAGAGCTGGTACTCGGCGTGGCATCGGTGCAGGGATCCAGGTCATAGGCCCGCTCAGCCTCCGCGTGCGCACTCTGAGCCGCAGAAAGGCGCTGGTGGAGGTTTCCAAAAACATCCCAGTTCCACTGTCTCAACCTACGCCGTAATCTGCCGAGCTTGGCTTCGAGATTGCGCATCCCGAAGAGCCCAGTCGGATGAAGCCAGGAATCCCTGACAGTGTCATGGAAAGAGTGGTGGCGAACCCACATGTTCTGGAACCTAAAAGAGGCGCGACGGGGAGTGCTCGAGAAGCGACACCTAATCAGGTGTGGTGAATGGTCAGACCCAAATCGAGTGAGATGCGTGACGGTCGTGACCGCAAACACCTTCGACCACGCTTCAGAAACCAAAGCACGGTCGAGCCTCTCTTTGAGGTCGTCCCTAACCTACGTGAAGGGCTCACCCTCACATCCAGCATCTAGCAACTCACAGTCCGCCACGGTCTGAACAAAGTCCCATATCTCCCGGGACCTGTCCGTGCGGCCACCCACACGCTCATCGTGGTGCAGAAAGATGTTGAAATCGCCACTAACCATCCATGGAAATCCCTCCATACTCTCAGAAATCTCACGCAGGGTGTCCCACAGATCGTATCTCCCGACTCTATTACACTTGGCGTAAACCAAAGTGTGAAATATGGGCTCAGGGAGATGGGCAGCAGAAAGCTCAACATGAAGCACCTGATCGGTGTCCCGGAGGACCCGACAAGTGTAGTCACGCGAGTGGAAGAAGAAGATCTTATGAGAGATGTTACCCACGCCCGAATGGAAACCAAGACAATGTGAGAGATAGTCAAAGTCAGGGGTGCGAATCATCGGCTCAATGAAGCCGACAAAATCCAATCTATGATCACGAATAAGAGAGCGTAGATGAGCGAGAGTGGCCCTATTAGCCAATCCCCGTCCATTCCAAGTAATGGACATGATAGACATATCAACAATCAGAAGAGCCACCGGACGGGGTCCGCCTGTGGCGAGGCTGAGTCAGACCACCTGAGGGAGGGGGTAGGTGGTGAGAGGATCGACGAAGAACCGGAGAGTCAGTCCGCCTTGTCATGCGCGGTGTGGATATGGTATTCGAGGGGGCATGCCCTCGGAAAGCGCTCGTGGCCTGCGAATCGTCAGGCTGAGCAGTCTGACCAAGACTGACGCTAGGTGCCTGTCCCATGTCCGGGCATGCCTCTTGTCTGTCATGGTGCACGAAAGCACTGGAGGCAAAACTCTCGCACAAGACGTCGTGCTGAGCGCGGTTAAGACCGCATGCCTGCTCAGAGGGTGTAAGGGAAGGGACTCCAGTCGGCAGAGCACTCGGGTGCTCGCCGTCAGAGTGTGGCTGGAGAGCTATAGGCTTAGTCGAAATCTCAATCTCCGCAGAGGGGAGGTGAGCTGGCAATTCCCCTTTCAAGGAAGTGGTGGCAGGAGTTGTCCTCATCTCCAGAGTGCAATCCTGGCTATGTGGGAGGACAGACAAAGGAACAACATCACGAATGTTGTCATGCGATAACTGGGTGGCCGGGCCAGTGGGTGAAGCGGCCGGCTGTTTAGTTGCTAGTTTAGTTGTTTATTGTTGCTAGTTTAGTTGTCTGATGTTGCTAGGTTACTTCTTTCTTGTTGCTAGGTTAGTTATTTTTTGCTGCTAGGTTAAATGTTTCTTGTTGCTAGGTTAGTTATCTGTAGCTGCTAGGTTAATTGTCTTTTCTTGCTAGGTTAGTTGTCTTTTGCTGCTAGGTTAGTTGTTTATTGTTGCTAGGTTAGTTGTCTGATGTTGCTAGGTTAGTTGTTTAATTTTCCTCCATATTTTCTTATAATTGTTCACTCTGTTTAATTTTATGTATAAACAGGGTTATAAATCCAAGCTTCTAAGCAAGGTTATGTGCTTGGCTACTGATGTTGTTGATGTCATAAACTTGCTTGAAGATGCCCCCCATGAAGTGACCGATGATTTAAATTACAAGAAGATACAACAAGCAACGGAAAATCTTATTTCTGTCAGTCCCGATGTACCTCAATCTTCTCAGAAGACAGGTTCTTTTGAGGATAGTGAAGAAACAGCTGCTTTCTGGAATGATCCAGAAACAATTGCAGCTATTGAGAAGATTGAGCATGCTATTGGGAAGAGAGCTGCATACAAGAAGAAGACACAAGGTGATGATGTTCCCAGTTTTTCATTGGGATTGGGGTTGTCCTCCCAGTCCCAAGAAAGTGACAGATGTTGGGAGGACATTTTAAATGTTTCAAGGCAGTTTTCAACTGATCATGATGTTGAGCCAGAGATCATAGAGAACCAACCT